AACGAAGTGCTGTCTTGGGTAAAGATTAACATAAGTATTGCGCTCGGCAACGGAAGACAAAAAATACGACTCACTGGGATGCCTTCACTTGTACTGAGGCAATTCCACAGAACGCTACCAGGCTTAAAATTGACGGGAGCCTCATCGTCAATACCCAAACCAAGCAGGGGAGGGACGGATTTGCCACTGGATTCCTCACTGACGAAGCGAGCGACGCAACGAACAGCTAGAAATTTTACAGTAATTCGACCGTCAGCAATGACCAACATCTTATACGGTCCGGAGCAATCAGAAGGCAATAAAACCCCAATGTTCATTTGCCGACAAGCTCGTTGATGATTTGAGGTGAAACCGAAGCGATACTAATCATCAGCTGCCAGCGCTGGTGTTGAGCGAGACCAGAGGCTTTGTAACGGATCCTTCGCTTGTCAAGTTACTCTCTAGAAACTGTTGATTGTCGCTAAAGAGAACAATCCCTGATTTCTTGCCGTCGAGTACGCTCTCCGAATCCGAGCTACATTGATGCTCATTGATGGCGCAGTTGACGCAGCCCCACTGACCCGGGGCTTTAGACCGCAACAATAATTCTTGAGGTGACATTGGTTTGGAAAGTTGGTGGCTGTAGCGCACATGAAGCAAACCAGCCGACAGTCGTGTCGCTGAGCGTCTAATTTTGTGGTGGGCCACCTTATCTATTTGGCCATAAGCTTCAAATCATCGAGTTCTTGTTCCAACTCTGTCGAGCTTCATGGAAGTATTGTAATCAAGCCCAAAGTGTGTGGAGCCGATGTCAAGGATTCTAGAGGTAGTCATAGTATAGACTGAAGCCAGTGGTCAGCACGAAACCCGCTCCCGCCTCAAATGGGCTAATCAGGGAAACACATGCACTCGGCAGGCTAATTTTACAGCGATATGTATATACTGTGCGATGCGTATGGCGCCACATACTACATATCGGCTCAGAGAGCCAGTCGACCATTCAATAGAGATGATGAAGGTTGTGGACCTCGATTAGGCCCGAATTCATTGTTGCCGAAATTTCAATTGGATTTCCCTCGAGGTTCGAGCTGGCTGATACGTCGTGTCCGGAGCAGATAGAAGTTAATACAAGTAATCAGAAGACTAGCTTGCATACGGTGCCATGTCCTTGTCATGCGCATAGAGCGATGGAGAAGTAGTGTCAATATGCAAGTGACGAAGAGACCTCACGGCGCACAAACGACTACTAGACTTTACTAGATAGGGGTGGGAACATTCCAGCAAACACTCAGTATTGTGTATTGGCGGCTCATCCTCGGACACGACCACGACAGACAGATTTGAAAACACAGAGTTGTCCACAGAAAACCGCTTCAAACGTAGATGAAACCATACAACGAGAAGAAAGCGTTCACTTCTCATATTATTGGGTTTGTTTTCATCGAGGCGTGGCCTGGAGTCTCCTCACTCGTCGTCTACATTCTTCTCCCGTGCACAAGTGCAATGCGGATCATCAGACTCTAAAACTGCTTCTTGCACGTTGACCATGCGCTCGTCTATCTCTGCTCAGCTATTCCCGCTCGTCGTAGAGGTCATGGGAGCAAACTAACCTCACGAGATGTTGTGTGAAGATTCTATCCGGCGCTCTTGTCTCAACATATTCGACGACATACCTATCTCCTTTGGAAAATCCTTGTGAGTCGGATAAGGGACCGTTCGCCGCAGAAGCGGTCCTTCGCTTTTGACTTCAACGGCTTATCGTGATGTTGGCGTTTTGCTCAACGTCCGGGGACCACTAGGATTTTCAATACTAGAACCCGCCAAGTTTCTCGATCTGGCATCCGAGAAGGTCGAACAAGCGGCTTGAGTCCATCCTGTCATGAGGAAGCATGCATCTGGACGCAATAACGAAGAAGAATCCTAGCATCATCGAAGTTTTGACATCTCTGCGACTCGAGCATTAAATCGGGATACTTCCCGGGTACATAAAAGCAAGCTTGCCGCAGGGCTCAAGCTCAAGGCGAATCTCCTCTCCTTTCTGACCTTTTGCCATGAAGATCGCCCAATTATCAATACCTATTGTGCTCGCAGGATCTTCCCTGGGCGCTTATGTCCAGAACCCTATCCTTATTCTTCCACCTTCCGCAGCCGCTAACCGCAATGCGGTTAAAAAGATTTTTACCGACAGTTACGGCGCCTACAGGTTAGTCCAAGACATTTCTTGCAATTGCTCAAATTTACGTCTATGTAGACAATATGCCTGGGGCCACGACGATCTGGACCCAATCAGTAAAAGTGAGATTTTTGCTTCAAGATCAATTTATATATTCAACGTTTTTATCAGGTTACTCTGATTCGCGCAATGGGTGGGGTGCATCCATTGTGGATGCCATGTCGACCATGGTATGCGTTAATAATCTCTGTTCTAAATTTTATCTTACCATTGATTTAGTATATCATGGGCTTGAACGTAAGTCTATAGCTTTCGGAGAAACACTCGGCCGTGTCTTATTTACATCTAGGATTGGTTTGTGGAAGCTGTCAACTATACAAAGACGATTGATTTCAGTAAATCGAAGACTGCCGACGATGTTAGGTATTTCGTCTCCCCGTTTTCTAAACTCTGTAGTCTCACAGTTCTGCAGTGTTTTTGAAACTACGATCCGCTATGTCGGTGGCCTCCTCAGTGCCTACGAACTTAGTGGAGGTGCGTACCCTCACCTTGTCACGAAGGCCAAGGAGGTCGCGGACAAGATGGTTTACGCATGGATCGGCGTGAGTCTATTCTGGAAACACTGCACCCGAATGCTCACGCTTTACCGCTTGCAGAACAACGACGTTCCCTACGGCCATATGGACTTTTCGACGAATGCGCCCGCTTATAAAGGCACAGTAAGTGTAAACATCATCCTAAGAACGCTTCTGATACTGAAATCCGTTGTTCATTAGTCAAACATTGCTGAAGCCGGGACAGTAAGTCTTGTTCTTCCTTGCCTTCGTGGAAGAGAAGCTAACATAACGGATCAAGCTTCTGTTAGAATGGGGAACATTGTCGAAGTACACCGGGAATTACACATACGGAAACTTGACTCTTAAGTCCCTCCGCCGGATCGCTACTCAGGTAAGCCGATGCCGAGTATTACCCTCAGGCCTCCGAGCTAATGCCCTCTGTTCTCTTCTGCTAGCCTGCTCCTTTGCCTGGTACGTAGAAGATGCCAGCTGGAATCTTTTGCTATTATGCCGAACTCTTCTTCTAGGTCTTGCTGCACAAGGTATTGATCCAGCAACTGGAAACTCCCTGGGTGGCTACGTCGTAAGCTATTTTCTTTGAATTCCACGCGACCGATTATTAATTTTATCTTGACGTAGACCTGGGGCGGTGGATCCGACAGCTACTTTGAATATCTCATCAAGTTTGCACGTCTCTCCAACTCAGCAGACAAGCTCTACGCCGATACGTGGCACACTGCTGTCGATTCTTCGATCAAGACTTTACTCAAGGTCTGCCCGATATTTCTGCCCGTTGGTGTTCCTCGTCAAGTCTCATCCATTTCCCCAGAAATCTACCGTCGGAAACTGGTCCTACCTCGCAGATTACGACGGCTCTCGCCAGATTCGCTATCAGAGCTCACATTTGGCCTGCTTTCACGGAGGAAACTGGCTCTTCGGTGAGTGAAAGTCTGACTGCGTCGGGTAAATATTTGAACTGTCTTGTAGGCGGAAAGCTCCTCAACAATGCTACCATTGTCAGCATTGGTCTCGATCTAGTTGACGCTTGCTGGAATACCTACGCCGGTACTGAGTATGTCTGAACCAAAGGTCTTCGTCTCCAAACTATTCCTCACGAATTTTTCTTCATCAGGACCGGCATCGGTCCGGAAGGCTTCGCATTCGCAGCTCCCGAAGGCAACTACACTGGCACACCTATCACCGCAGAACAGGAAACTTTCTACAAACAAAAGGGCTTCTATGTTACTTCGGGCTACTACATCCTCCGTCCAGAAGTACTCGAGTCCAACTTCTACGCATGGCGTGTGACAGGCAATCCTAAATACCTCGACCGCGCCGCCAAAGCCGTTGCGGCTTTCAACAAGTACCTCAACACCGGCTCAGGATACGCCGGATTGGTTGATGTCAACGACGGCACCTCAAAGGTCGACGATACAGAGAGTTTCTGGTTTGCTGAAGTCTTGAAATATCTGTGAGTGTCACCATTACTGGAAGAAGCTTGATGTTAATATCATTTGAAGATACCTCACTTTCGATGACCCCAACCACATCAACATCGACCAATGTACGCTTCGCTATACATACTTACTCTGTGCCCCTTGCTGATATATCTTAGGGGTTTTCAACACCGAGGCTCATCCCTTCCGGGCTCCACCACCTCTCTTCCAGTACGGTTCGGCTACAGTCCTACCTCCATGGGGTCCTTTCCACCCAGTTAGTGGAGCTGCCCTCCCCGATATCAGCCCAGCTGCGAAGCTACCTGGCAAGCCGGCTCCTACTGCCTAAGTTGTTGAAGTCGATTGTATTGTCTCCAAATTTAGACTATCAGTGAAAATAGGGACATTGCGCTAAAAGCTATCATGTACACAATCTTTCGTTTTTCTTATTCAATATCATTATCTATTTCAATGCTTTAGAACGGTAGTTCTGACTACTGTGCGCAAATTTTTAGTGAAACCAATGACCAGTCTATCGCGAGTCATTTCAACGCTTCAAGCTATGATTTCTACCTTGGTAGGTTCCACACGATGTCCTTTCTTTATGATGTCGCTGAACCACTCCTGTGCCACATTTAAATCTGACAAAAACAGAGTCACGCAGTGGCATGATAACTGTCGAATTTTAAGTCCCGTGCGTTGGCCATTGCTTCGCCAATTACTGACAATGTACTCTAAAAATCTGAATATGAGCTCTTTATACCTACTTGAGCTTTCCAGAGTCAGAGACTCTTCGAGAAAAAAAAGAAGATTGCAGACAGTCCACAAAAATGCACTTATCGATTGTCAGTCAATGGGGGCATAGCTCAGTTGGGAGAGCAGTAGACTGAAGTAAATCGTATTCTAAAGGTCCCGCGTTCGATCCGCGGTGCCCCCAGCTTTTGACCTTTTTTTTACGAATGGCAAAACTTATCTCATGGTTTGTTTGCTCTGAGTAGATGTTTTGGCGCCCGTTGAATGAGTGTACCAAATATGGTCGTGGGAAAAGTGATCGCCCGTAGCACATCCTCCAAGTCCAATTCCGACACCTAAACGAGACATGTATGTACAAGAATCCTTCGCAGTCGCTTTTTCTGCTCGACTGCAACTTTTAGTTGGATCCCAGGAGTTATTGACTTGTACCTATTTGCCTCACTTCCGTGGAGTTGTGACCCGCCGCCGGCCTCAGGTACCAATGAGCACAGCTTTGGAATGTATTTGAGATGAGAAAAGCACTGCCCCTCATACTTAAGCACATGCGCAGTTTGATGTGTTCATGGCCATGGTGCTTGCTCCTGGGTGCAGTACAGTATTTGCCGAGTTTACAGATAAATGTACTTGTTCCGAATGCGGGGACTAGGCCGTCGTCGGACATGCAGTGTCATACAGAACTGCGGATATAGTAATATATAAGGTTTCAGTTCCGCAATCGCATAACCCCTTCGTTCCAACCGTCATCGTCACCACTTGGGAGCGATTTCTTAGCCCGGCTACTTTGCTTCATCACTCTTCGTATCTGGTTTCAAGGTCTCGTACAATCATCATGACTGCACACAAGGGAGACGACAACTACTATCACCCTACTGTTGAAAAGCCTGGGCCCGCCCATTACAACTCTTGTGCGTCTCTTCCCAGATCGTCTTAAACTTTTAAGGAACTGAGCTTCGGTCTTGCAGACCAACCGCATCCTGGTCCAGGGATGCCCAGTCCGTCACCTTATGGTCAACCAGGGGCTTACGGTCAACAAGGAGCTTATGAACAACCAGGAGCTTACGGACAACAGCCTCAGCCTCATCAGCAACCAGTGATATACGTACAGCAGCAGCAACCTCAAGGGAACCAAGGTGTAGACGATGCGGCATGTTGTCTTGGAGCGTAAGTTCTGGGTGCAGTCTTGACATATACCTGAGCTAATTTTTTTTTCGTATAGCTTCGCTGGATGTTGCGCATTAGCAGTCTGCTGTCCTTGTTGTTGGTGTTGTCTGTAGCCAAACGTTATACCGATTGAGGGATTTTCTGGAATTTAGTCTGTTGTATTTATATCGAATATTCTTCTATTCTCGGACTGGTAACAATGAATGCCTTTTCATTTCATACATTGGCATGGCTATTTTCTACCAAGACGCTGGCTACCAATACTTGCGAGTGCGGTCTTGCCAGCGAAAAAGGTGGGGAGAGAAAGCATGAACCCGTATAATAGGACTTGACCGAGCTTCAAATCTACCCAATACCAGAAGAGCAGACCTTCGAAAGCTCCCAGAGATGCGACAAAGGGAAGGATAGACGGAGAGAAGAGACGCGAGGGCTTGGGGACCACTTGAGACCACTAGAAATGAATTGTTAGTCAGGCTCAGAGATGTAATTATAAATGACCAACAAGGCTGAGGAGAATAGCCCAAGGGGCCAAGACAATGCCAATGAAGGCAAAAGAGATTGGCTGAGGAGGCATTTTGTTGTCTGCGCGGAAAGTGTGATGGATCTCAGGAAGAACATGGAAAGTTGATTCGAGTGGGTTTTCTGGGGCTGGTTGAGACTTTGGAAGGACCAGATCGAAGAGTTCGACCGATATAGGATCATACTGCGACGTTCCGATAATCAGAGACACCTTCAGTGGATCGCCATTCGGTGTCGGAGGTAGCGAAAGCGGAGGTTTTGAAAGATTCTGTCAAATTATCAGTTGCACTCCTTTGAAGTAGTCTACGAAGATACATACGAGTTCAAACTTGGCCTTGCCACCAGGTGTAACACGGACAGGCTGAATACCTTCTTCGTTCGTCTTCTCATCGTAGAAGCGAAGGAACGTCTGGTGTGGTTGCACGCCATTCCCAGTTTCTTGATCCAATACTTGGAAAGTCATTTTGAGAATGTCTTTAGCTCCAAGCTCGACAGCTTCAGCAACCTGCTTGCTCAGAGAGAACCTAATTCCTCAATATTCAGCTCAATTCCAAAGACCATAAGAGAACCCCGTCACGTACGAGTCGGAGCGCAGCTGAGTGCCCATGGAGTCCGTAACAACAAGTTTGGGCGACTGCAGCTTCAGAGTAGCTGCCTGCGCAGAAAGCGCCAACACCAGCGTTGACAGCAGGGCGGCCAGCATTGTTGACCAGAGGAATGTCGGAATTCAGAGAGAACGGTGTGAGCAACTCTGCTAACGACGTGTCGCGTTTGCCTTCACTATTGCTTCCGATATTTGTGATCACTTGCTTCTACAAACAACAATGCCCCTATTCCTCCTTCGACGATGACTTCCATTTGACTTTGCTTATCTTCAAGCAGCTTCAGCTTGCTGTCGTATGAGATTTCGATGGTTCTCAGACAACTATCTCTGAATAAAGACTCTGAAAAGTTCTAACTATTGTATAGAAGGTCCAACTTGGCTTGAAGGACTTCAGATGCTATGCCTCCAACTTGGTCTAGATCAAGGTCTAGCTTTCCCTCTGGTCCTTCACCTCGTCTTAGTGTCAAAGTCCTCATCTTATGTACCCCTGAAGTCCCCGTTTTCTTGAATCTGATAAATCCTACCACCGCATCTATCGAAAACTTGAACCCATCAAGGAATTCCATCCGATTCAGTTTTGGGACCAGATAAGCGCCAGTTGTATCTAGGGTCGTGAAAAAACGCAGGAACTGGTCATTCAAAAGCAATCGCTTTTGATAGCTAAGTATCGAAGCCATCATAAAGCTGGATCGGTGGGTTTCTTCGTCAACTACGTCGAACGACTTGATTGATAGAGTCATCAAGTATGGACAGCTCCTTAGCGTCTGTGTAAAATCTTCCGAGGAAAATCTAACGAGATTGGTACCGAAAATTTGGAGCTGACCACCCATTCGTTTCAGAAACGAGAGAACAGTTGGAGGTGGACGAGGTATCGCGGACGCATCGGTATAGAATTCTAGATGCTCCAGATGCGGAGGGTCGAGGAAAGAGAAGAAAGATTCGAGGTTACCATCGTGCTCATGGATCGCCAAACGTCGCAAGTGGGGCAAGAAAATGGGTTCGGTAATCAAATCTCTCGATGAATCTTCGTCCGATGTGTTGTATATCTCAACTTCACAGCTGATGAGATGCCGAGCCGAGCGCAGCACTGTCCCTACATCAGCTAGTGCAAGGTGCACAGGGCTAAGAGCGTCGTGCTGCTCTCGAAGAGACAGATGCGTTAGCTGATCCCATGCCACTGGCAGCTCTGTGATAGGGACAGATATCCTCCTGAGGTCCAATGAGCGTAGTTTTGGCGCCTGCAGTAGACCGGTACAGCGGAGATGTTGTGCCGTGTTGATCGACGGGAATTTGACGCGAAGTGACCGTAAGAGCGACAACAGATGAGGTTGAATAACATCGAGTGTTCGAAGAGTGGGTTCGTTGACCGTGATATCCAGGTTTTCGATTCTCGACGCGTATTCGAGAACAACCTCTGAGAGTATTACTGTCAATCCAGGCGAAATAATCGGACCCAAATCGATGTGAGAAATATTCAAAGGATGTGTGGATGACATGTCGAGCCAACCACAGATCACATTGAGGTATTCAAGGGAAGCATCCATTTCGGCCTCATCCTCCGTCAACTGATCCTCGTCAAATAGAAGTTCCTCCAACGAAGATTGCAAAGAGGAAATATGGATAGAAGCCCACAATAGAGGTGTATGTACGGCTATGTTTCTCCATTTCGTTGATATTTGAGTAAGGAGTAGTGGGGGCTGCTCGAGACCAATGATTGGATTGTGTCCATTGGGGAGACAGTATAGAAATATTTGTTGGATAACCTCGAGTGGAAGATCGTCGAAAGGAGAAGAGACAATAGTAAGGTGTGAAAAATCGAGTGGCCTGGAGTGGCGATTCGCATTTTTCGAGCTGTCGGAATTTCGATGGATTGATTGAAATAAGCGTTGAATGGTAGATATGTCGCTGCTTTGAAGGACATGAAGTGCAGACATAATAGTCCTGAAGCTGTGACAGGACGACAAAGCCCTCAAAAGCACAAAACGGCCCTTTATAAGCTAAGGTCTGGACATTCATGATCGGAAATGAGTGAAAAGCCAATCGATTCCACGGACATATCTTGCCAGATGCCAGAGCCAGTTGCGAACGTCAATGAGGTTTCATATATCCCCGAATAGGCCTTGAAAGACAAAGGGTTCATCATTTATACCATCGAAACGGACGCCAATGCAAGGTACTGATAAGCGCTTTGACTTGCCATGTGAGGCTTTTGCGGTTCAACAATGAGAGTGGCAACCTCGATGGAGAAGCCAAGTTCCAGACACGAGTAAGAGAAGTTGTTTCGAGCACAAGGATATGTTACTCCATGCTGTTGGCGCTCTTGGGGTAAATACAGAATTATAGCAGCGAGCAGGGCAAATCCTCGTTATTATCACAGGGGTTTCTCTGCGCACACTAGGGAGTACCGGTGCTCATAATGCGAGCAAATCAGGAGATTTTGGCCATGCGCTGATGCCACGCTGATGCCACTAGTATCTAGACGCAAGTTCAGAAAGTCGCAAAGTGATAAGACAGGGGAGGGAGTGCCACCCGTCATCGACGATGTGTGTCGTGTGAATACGGAGGCTCCGTCCCTGTCAAATTGATCTGAGCTCAGTTCTGCCTTACTTCCGCTTTGACCTTGTACTCCACCCAAAAATTAGGAACATTGGTAGCGACAAGGCGGCCATCCAGATATATCGACTTAAAAAATACTAAGAGCATCCCCTATATTATTATATACCCGTTGCTCTCTATCTTTGATTTGATTTATTTTTACTTTCCAGTCGAAGTCAATCATTATTACTAGACACACTTCGGTACCTTGACTTTCAATATACCTTCTCCCAGAATCTCAGCCATAGCTCCAAGTACTATGGGCCTAGAAATCTTGCTTTCATGTCCTATATTTATTCCTGTGATGACAGGCACACCGACAGGTTCTAATTCATCAATCATCTGACGTCCATTCCGAACGTTAGCCAATGACATGTAGACAGCTTCAAGTGCTCAAATTTAAAAACACTTACATCCTGTGCGTCGTATGCGAGTCCTTCATTTGCACTGGTTAACTGCCCAATGGGTATCCCAGCAACCCCGTTGAATTGTTTGCTTCGCAATATGGTGGACAGATAGCGATGTATTTTGTCTGAAGATTGTTCTTTCACCCATAAAATGTCATGATTTCAAGAGTCACTCACAAGCAGCTTCCCCGACCTCCTCGAGGAGTAGTATGCAACCGTTGAAATCTGGCAGGAGGTTCTGTCCCGTCATCGCATTCGCTCCAACCATCGATGCTATAACTGAAATTTTTCCACCCAAAAGCTTTCCGCTCGCGAGTATTCCCCTTGAACTATCTACATTCCGCAATCCTCCCTTAAAAACCTGCGTGATAGGTTCAGGTCCTCGAAGTATGGCCCAAACTTCTTCGAGAATCAACTGAGGTATATCTCGTAGATTCCAGATCATAGGTCCATGTAACGCCAATATTCCAGCGTTGGCACACAGTCCTAAATTGATCGCTGTGAGGTCAGAGAATCCGATAACCCACTTTGGATTCTGTTTTAACGACCCGACCAACTTCTCAAATTGAGAAGCGGAAAGTCCATGTTCGAGGACTTGGACTGAACCGTATCCTCCTTTGGCACCCCAAACCATCCCATCCTGCGTGAAAGCTTCATAAAGTTCTTTGGCTCTTGACTCTTTCGTTCCGGCGAAATAGAACGATCTTTCTATCACGGAGGGCGGCATGGACACCCTGAGTCCTCTTGACTCTAGATATTCTTTTCCTCGCAAAACGTGTGTCGCATTTACTGCAGCGCCCGGCGAAATGATACGAACGGTAGTGCCTTGATTTATTGGAGGAGGTTGGCGAAAATTCATTTCAGCCTCGCTAGATTAATTTGAGCAAATCAACACTTGAAGTGGATATGAATGCTTGTAATGACACTTACCACCGTGATAGGCTTCGTTTCGTGAGCAGCCCAGTGAGAGCGCATGTGGGCATACCTAAACGTCGAAGCACTCCTTGGTATCATTTTATAACACAACATTACCTGGGTAAGTACGCATTCAAGTTGGAGGGGCACAGATAACATGAAAAGATTCTCAATATAAATACTCCCCTTGAAATTGCCCAGAACATAAGAAGGCAAAAACAGTCCCGACCGTGATTTGAACACGGGACCCTGCGATGACTGAACTGCAATCGCATGCTATAACCACTTAGCTATCGAGACAACGTCGATTCTTGTTGTTGTGCGTATGTAAGGCGCATGGGTTCTTTCGTCTTGGCCATTTCACCAACTGTCTCGATCTCATCTTACAAGAATTTGTCGAGGCGAACTGAGATCAATATGGTACAGGAAAGACGAGTATCTGAAAAGACAAAAAAAGTGAGTCACGCTTGGGTCGACTGGACGCCGGCGCCGGCCGCGTGCTTTCGGCACCTAGCTAATACATCTCACATTCTTATGTAGCAGAGAATACAAAGGAAAACAATGAATTTGATTGTTAATATTTTACAGTACAGAAAAAGTAGCAAAATGACTTCAAGAATTTCGTTATTGTTGATGTGCTCAAGGGAGCATCGCCGATGACTTGAAAATGGTATTGATGACTGCCAAAGGCCGATGGGAACAAGGAAGCCGTCCAGCTTCCTTGTTCCCATAGGTCGTTGTCAATCCTATAGCACATGGGTCGCGTTTGAAACCGAGGCTCACCTGAGGAATCATTTAAGGAATGGGGGCGAAGAGGACAAGGGTAGCGCAAGTCGCAGAGCATGTTCCAAGGGCGGCGTTACACCCCAAAACAGCGGCTGGGGCGGCAGCAGCAGCCACCACCGTACCAAAGACGCATCCTGCAGCTGCGTAGCAAGCAACGGCAACAGTGTTGCAGCCTATCGTGTTGCAACTTAAATAATAGTTCTTGGACAATCAAGTCGGTGGTTACACACCCGTTTGACAAAGGCCATAACTAAGAGGGCCGCCCATGACGGAGGACGTAGTGGCGGCCAAAATGGCGAGAGTAGCGGCGGTATTGAAGCGCATCGTGAATATGTGAAAAGAGGTTGAATTGGGGGGATTGTGGTGGTTGTGGTATGAGATGTGAGACAGAAACCGGAGAGGTTGGTTTTTATAAGCCCACGAAAGGTGCGCTCGGACCCTCCCGCAACCTCACCGCGTGTATATCGTCACAGAGGCGAGTCACAGCGCCCACAGTCAGAACGTTCCAGACTTCCCTTATCTCTCGTCACTTTGTTACTTTCCATATCTTGACGGGTTCGCAAAGTTTAATAGCTCCTGAGCACCCATAGCTCATGGAAGAGCAGTCAGAGCTTTTTTTCAATGCAATGGCGCATATATTTGTCGTTCCTGAAGCTACAGTCGCTCCAAAAACTCTCGGTTTAATCCCCATAGGGTTCATGCGCTGTAAGAAGTCGAACCAAACAGATTTGTCAACGTTCAACCCTTCAACCTAAGAACGAAGGTCCTCCAAAAGAAGCCATGATCAAACTAAAACTAATCGTCATTTAAGAGTACACATACATTTGGATACGGGACATCTAGAAGTCCATGTCATCGTCATCCAAATCTCCGTCTTGTATCTCCTTCGCAAGCTCTTTTTCACGTTCTCTGGCACCCTCAGCGTCTGCAAGTTCTTTTCGATGTGCGTCCAGAGGGTAACGCATGGCCTATAACGCATGAGCAAAGGTGAAAACCAAGAGTCGAGAAGCGACCAACCTTTACGCTCTGATTGTGCAGATCCAAGCAGAAGGCGATACGTCGGCCAAACACTTCACTGACTTCTGGTCCATAGCCCCGTTTCTGGATGCCACATTCCATCCAGCCCTTTTCGTGGACGACACGTCCTTCAATGACGCCATCTCGAATAGCTTTTCCGACAATGTACTCGGCATCTTCTTCGGTGTCGAGGTGTAGCTTGACACAGATATCCCGGAGCGAGATGCGAGAATACGACAGCGATAGTCTTCGGATACCAGTCTTGATCACATTTTGACGGAGACGAACGATGAGCGAATAGGTATTGTCAGTGCTGAATTGACCGGCATGCTTGGAGAGAGTCGTCTGGAATTGCGACAGAGAACCCGTTCGAACAGCTGAAGAATGTGTTGACCAAACTTCATGTCGATATGAACGGAGACTGTACCTTTTACAATTTCGAAATATGCAATCAAAGCCTTCTCCAAAACGACATGTCGGAATAACGTCCGCGCTGGAATATCACCCATCAAAAGTTCTACGACCACATTGTACTTATGGATAGTCTGGTAGAATCCAGGTGCAGTCTTGGCTGGCGGAGCTCGCCTGATCGCCTGCTGAAGGTTTGTATGAGCATCGGTGTAGTTGAGTTGAACCGCACGGATCCGTCCGAGGTAGTAGTGATATCGAGCCAAATGAGCGTTACTAGCAGAAGTCGGGAAAGTGGTCTTGGAGATCAGCTTGTCGGCTTGGTCGTACAAGCTGTCCTCGAGGTAATTTCGGAGCAAACAGTTGATCAATGCTGCTTGAGCTTCGTCGTCGTGACGGAGTGAAGCCGTCTTCTGGGCAGTCAAGAGTAGCCTAAAGAATCATATGTACATGAGTGCTAGAGTAGACCAAGAGTGATTTGGACGTACGGTCGGGCGTCGGCGAGTTCACCGCCAAGTTCGTATGCGCGGTCAACTGCGTACCAAATCTTCGCAGCGAGCGCATCCATGCTACGACGATTTAGTTGTTGCATCTTGGTAGCGGTCTCATTAGCAAGTACGAGAGCTTGTTTATGCGTTTCCTCCTTCTTTAGGAGGTGATGGATGATGAGCAAGCGCAGGTAGAATTCGACTTCCGGGACGGGTTCGGAAGTCGACGCTTTAGCAGCAGTGGCAGCAGCCTCATCGATATCCATTGGAGCATCACCACCATCTGGTGCAGCAGGAAGCCAAGTAAGTAAAGCTTTCTTCACAGTTCCATCTAAAGTTTGGTTAACATTGGTATCAAGCGATGAAGACAAGCCAACCTTTGGTGTAGATTCCGTCAATCGCTGTCCGCAAAGCAGCATCATCGATGCGCTTTCGTAGAGCAGTTAGAGTACGAAGCACCCTCTGTGTAAATCTTGGTTCCAAAGTGGAGACACCTCGATCTATGAGGGCAGCGTTGTTCTTGATCTCGACTGCTGGAGGAAGTGGTTTCTTCGCCTCCTTTTTCTTTTCTTCTTCCTTCTTTTTTTCTTCCTCTGTCTTCTTTTTATCGTCCTTCTTGTCTTTCTCACTTGTAGATTTCATTTCAACGTCGGGCATGGTGATTTTGCAGACTGGGAGTTGGGAGGAGTTGATGGTCAGGAGGAGAAGGTGACGCGTCGCGTCGTCCAAGTTTGGCAAAGAGATATGCTTACGCAATACGTTGAAAATGTGTCGAAATGGCCACTTCGTCAATGTCTCGATAGCTAAGTGGTTATAGCATGCGATTGCAGTTCAGTCATCGCAGGGTCCCGTGTTCAAATCACGGTCGGGACTTGATTTTTTACTTTATAAAATATTCAAGGTGAACATGAGCATATTAGCAATGGAAAGGTCTTAGGACTTGTTGCAGTATGTAGGACACAAGAAAAATCTGGAGAAAGCCAAGTGCATATATATGACATATCACTGAATGGTATTCTAAGTTAAAATTGACCAAGCTCTAATTTCACTAGTCAAATCAGAGATCTTCGCCATAATGCCATCCTGATACTATCTGTTCTCCCACCCAGAGGAATCCAAATGTACTTCAAGACATCTTTTTCGGATTGAAGCCCGTCTTAACAAAGTAGCCGAGTGTTAATGAATTTTTGTTCAGAGGGAATGGTTGCTGTGAGGAAGAAGAAAAAAGTGAAATCCACCACCAGACGCGGGAATTGATATCAGGATACTTAAAGGTAAAAGACGAGCGTCTTAGAGACTGTTACAGCACTCTCTCGCATTCGCTCATAGTATCGTGGATCTCCTGCGTGTGGAGAGGCAATGTGATAAGGTGCAAGGTGTCGAAGTCGTCGAGAATGCAGCGTACATGGAGTACGTGTGTGGTCTCGCGGTCGATTTTGCTCACAAGATGAAGAAATAGAGAAAGATTACCGAAGAACAGGTTGCATGTCCGAGAACGATCATCCCGAGTCGAAGAATAAATTCTTCTGAGGACGGCATGGTAGCTTAATAGATTCCAAGGTAAGCTAGGAATGACTTGGCAGAATTGCAAGGCTAAGGGCAAATGATATCGTAGGTGGGGAACAACAGTGGATTGACCAGCAGACTCGTGCCGCAGATACACAGTAATGGATGCATCGCGCGGATCCGATAATGATATTCATCTGGAAGTAGATTATTCTGGAGGCAAGTTCGACTGGGAAGTGGTGGATAAATGGATTATGAGCTTGGTTGAGGACCATCTTCAGCAAGCCTTCAAGCCTGCCGATGTGTGGGCTCGTTGAAGAGCAGAGGCTTGAAAAAGATTTCGAGCTGGCGATTTCTTGGTTTATCAAATTCGCTGCAGTTCGGGCAGCACGGTCAAATCCATTTGAATTTCGAGCAGATGTTTGAGATTGGATTCGACATGGGTGCACAAAAGGAGGGACAATTGAACACAAAATGGCATTTATTTGGTAATGTTTACCGAAGGCTGGCAAGACTGTTCATCCACTGGTTGCGATCCCGGCTATATTCGTTTGAGTTACGAACCGCCGGACGATTTTGAATTCATGTATTTGCCCCTTGTTTCTCGAAGAAGTCTGACACCAGGAGCCAAGCAACACACTTTTCACTCACGCGACTTTTGATCTAATTGCAAAAACACCTCCTGTTGGAGCTTCCGTTGCTGCATAGATGCTGTAGAGATGAAGGTTGTTTACTTTTAGCTCACGAAAATATTCCGGAGAAGGTTGTTCTTCTGGTTGAAAGACATAGGTCGACAGATTGGGATAAACACTATCAACAATGTTGCCATTCTGGCGCGATGCTTCTGCTGACTGATAACCGACCGAATGAATTAGTCGTCGAGTCTGGGATCATGTTGCGCTTCTCACAGCAACTTCTTTCTGCTATCTATCTCGAGAGATAGATTCCGATCTATTTGGCGACGATCTTCACGCATACCCTGGCTGGTGATTAAAGCCGTCAACCACGATGGCTAAGGGCCTGTGACGCGTATTATATGGTAAGCCTCTGATTTTTTAATTTGGCGTGGTCTCACTCAGAAGCTCTTATCCGATTTTCAGCTTTTCCCCTCAAAATTGCTCTTGAATAGGGGCTAGTTATGTTGCGAAGAATCGAGAAGAACGGCCCCTCTTCTTCTCTCGAAGGTTCTCGTTACTCCCGGTCGGAGGGTGAGGTTCACCCAAGAGTATATCCGAGCAAGCCATACCTCGAGGTCTAAACCCAAGGACCCATTGTAATCACTCGATGGCTATAAAGGTCATTCAAACTTCCACCATCTAAGCAACCTTCTTTTGAGGAGGTTTTACTTTTTATCGAACGCCTCTGCAGCCTTCGGTCGTCTAGAAATGCGGTTCACCTCAGTTGTGGTCTTGGCACTTTCTCTTGTCCCACCTGCACTTGCGGCCCCAGCCCCACTGATCTCTGTAGAGAAGTTTGACGGCCAAACCAATGGGAAGTTTATCATCAAGTTTAAGAAGGAAGTCTCCACGGCCTCTTGGTACGACAAACTCAGCCTTCACCCCGACTCCGTTGTTGAGTTTGACCTTCTCAACGGCTTTGCGAGTATGGTCCATTCATCGAAAATACAGTGTGCCTAGTTGACTCAACATCTTCCTCATCTTTCCAGGCCACCTCGACACCGACACTCTGAATACACTTCGGGCGTCCAAGGACGTCGAGTACATCGCTGAAGATGGGCTTGTGCATGCTTTCGATACCCAGTACGTTCAGCTACTACATTTGCTTCGCCCTAATATGAAAAATGATCATAACAGAACCAACGCTCCTTGGGGCCTGAATCGTATCAGTTCACCTGCCAAGCTTCTATCTGGCTCTGCGACGGGGGCAGCTGCATACACCTACACCTACGACCCATCAGCGGGACAAGGTGTAGACGTGTATATTGTCGGTAAGCTCACCGAGCTTTGATTTTTCTTTAAATTAACGATACAATCGATAGATACTGGTAAGCATGGCATTTCGGTTTTGGCGCCTAACCAATGATCTAAAGTTCTTATAAAGGGATTAACACGGCACACGTAAGTTATATCCAAACCAGCTCCGCCTTTTAGTCACAGGTCTTCAGGACGACTTTGGCGGACGCGCTAAATGGGGTAAGACAGTAGGAGGGTACAACAGTGCTGACGGCCTTGGACATGGTACCCATTGCGCGTAAGTGGGTTTTTACACTGGTACGGCTAGTTTGATCAACCATGATAACAGGGGGACGATTGGTGGAACACAATATGGTGTTGCTAAGGTCAGGCAATAACGTTACACTCTCTGTCTCTTCACTGATCATTGACGACCCTAGAAAGCAACTCTTATTGCAGTCAAAGTGCTTGATGACAATGGCTCTGGGACAATTTCAGATATGCACGTCACATCTAGGATAACTTCATTCATGATCTCATCAATTTTGTAGTCTGAGTGGACTTAGCTACGTGAAGACCCAGGCTGCTTCCACTGGAAACCCATCTATTGTCTCTATGTCCCTCGGAGGAAATGCTAACACGGCCTTGGACGACGCTGTGACAACGGTAAGCTTTGTTAACTGGGGCTCTCGATTGACATCGCTGAGCCATGATTCAGCTTATTGCATCAGGCGTTCATGTGGTTGTAGCCGCAGGAAACGAAAGCCGTGACGCCAAGAATGTTTCTCCTGCTAGAGTAGCCGCCGCTATCACTGTTGGTGCATCGGACATCACCGATGCTATGGCCTCTTTCTCTAACTTTGGCCCCATCGTTGATGTCTTTGCTCCTGGCGTCAGCGTACTCTCAGCATGGAAAGGTAGCAATACTGCCACCAATGTTATTTCTGGCACATCGATGGCTACTCCTCATGTTGCCGGCCTTGTTGCGTATCTGATTGGTAAAGATGGTAACGATACCCCAGCAGCTATCGCGGCAAAGGTGGTATCACTCTCTTTAAAGGAAACACTGACAAAAATCCGTAAGTTAACCATTTCCTCAACTTTGCTGGAGCTGAAAGATTTCCTGCATAGCTTCTGGAACTGTTAACGACCTTGCACACAATGCTTAAGATGTTTAGTGGTTACATTATCCTTTATTCTAGATAAATTATCTTGTATTGGATGGAAGAATATTACATTAAATCACACACACACGTCGCAATTAGTTAATTCGAATGAATCCAAGCGGACAACTTTCAGTTGGGGCGATAAGGCCCCTGGCAGCCCAAACTCCTGCAATCCGATTGGACCGCTAGATTTCGGACCGCATCAACTTCCGGGCTAGAGGGCCAAGTGGACCTTCGACGAAACTCTCAACTCAAGGCAGACCATGTCGTTGATTTCCAGAATATGGAACGCAATACGAAATCCAGTGAGTAGCAACAATCGTCCCTGAAATGTAAAAACTCAAAACTTAACTAGCGCTTCTCCGTTTAGGTCCGATATGTTGGCAGAGACTTTGAAGGTGCGACAAACTCTAACTGCGAAATACCTGACTGATGTCCTTGCGCATATTATAGGAAATAAGTACTTTGAGACGAGGTCGCCAAATGATCCCTCTCGGATGAAAAGAACTGTCCAGTATTCGGAAGCAGATGATATGTGGAAATACATTGGAGGATCGAAACGCCTGCCAAGTGAGCCTCTTGTTTTTTGTTTTCGTTACTTTGGCTTAGTTAACATCTCCCGCAGTACAGTGGTCTGCTTGGCTTACCCATACTCGTTTGCAACCACCCACTCTTCAGGTAAGACTTCTGTTTCAAGTTCTCGCAGCTTTCTGACGTCTGTTCAGGAACTTGAGGCTGACATTGCTCGTCGACAACGCGTTCTAGCCAATGCAGCTTTAATAGATGCGCGAGATAGGGCCGAGGTCGAAGAAAAATCGCGTATTAGGCAGGAAGACACGCATCTCGCGATTGAACAAGCAGCTGCTGGCTGGTCGCGACAGACTACGCCAATCATAGAACAACCTCGGCCTGTTCCAGAACTTAGTGGTGTAGAGCCTGCGGCACATGTTCAACCTCCGGCCTTCCTCACTCCTTCCTCACCACGAAAGTCAAAATCTAAGAAGCCTTTTTCTTTACCTCCGCTCGATACCAGTACCGACAATACTGCGGCCAGTTCCACACCAGCTCAAGCTGAATTCCACTCTACTCTGCAGACGGTGACTTCCTCTCCTTGGAAGTCTGCACCATCAGAGACAGAGACATGGGCTCCGAAAGCTCGAAGCAGAGGCTGAGCGTCTATTGAATCTTGGCGGCAGGGCCTGACAGAGGTTGGTCTTGATTCGTCGTTTTTAGTTATATCCTATGGCAGATGTCCTCTATCTCATTCAATGGAACTATTTCTTCGAGA